TAACATGGTTTGCATTTATTTATTATTATTTCTTTATCTGTAAGAAGTTCACAGAGATCGAGAATACACAATATATAATAGTATATGCAATGTAGGTAAAAAATATCCACGCCCCTCTTGTGATATTAATAAAAACATTGTATATAATGTTATGTATTAAGTATTCTCCTTTCCCATGCAAGGGAAATCTATGCTGCATTTGCTGACGACTGTTTTTTTTCATTTGACATTGCACAGGAGATTTGTCACTCATTTGATGTATTTGAATTCTTCGTCAAAATATAATACAAAACACACAGAGTATTTCTCAAATAAATAAGAAAACTAAGTTCATTCTAGTAATTAATCCTCTTCTGGACAACCACAGAAATGAAATTCCAATGCGTTTATATATACATATAATTATACAACAATTCACGATAACGACCTCAATCCTCCCCCACACCCATACTTTAATGACAATTGTACGATAAACCCTGTACCAACCCTGACAAGGATCGGTTCTAGTCATTTAACGCCTTTGACACTAAACTTATAAGGTTATTACAATTTACGTAAAAAGTTATTACATTTTACCGCAAGTTGAGATTATTACAATTTACGTCAATTTTTATTACAATTTGCGTATTACGATTTACGTCAAATTTTATTACAATTGACGTTGTTATTACAATTTACGTCAAAATTATTACAATTTGCTGCAAGTATTATAATTTACCTTTTTATTACAATTTACGTCGTAACAACCCCATTTCACCTCACCTTGCCCCTTGCCCAATCCACTGTGCCTTTGTCCGTACCATTAACCCTTTTGTTTTATGCTTTATAATTTCTTCTAATTCTGTATTGGCTATCATAATCTCTGCCAGAATTTCCTCTTTCACTGTGTGCTCCCTTTGAAGCTTGATACAGCAGTGGATTTCCAGTTCTGAAGGAATTGAGATCTATATATTTTTTCAACCGTTGAGGCAAGCCATGGCGTGGAACATACCAGTGGGTTTGGGTATGAAAGTTATCTCATATATTGTCAATAAATTTTAACCATAGGGCATTTTCAACTTCAATGTGATTAGTATATCTGTATTTGTAAAGTATTTGGGACGGTTTATGATACACTTCTGTAGACGTAAGCTTATACCAAGACGAAATAAGACGTTTATAAACTTAAATACTAAGTGGTTCCCTGCCCAATTCGCCATACAACATACACTCCGGAGTTGTGTTTTTCCGTCCAGTAGCCAATTTAAGGAATTTTAGATGAACCCTTTCTAAAGTAGTTATATTCTCGTATCCCCAGATCTCGACACCATATAACAGTATGGGGGCGACTACTGCAAAAAATGCAGATGAGATCAAATAGCAAAGTTTTTATGATAACATGCTAGTTTTAAATCTATATCTGTGATAGACTAGTGCTTTTACTGTCCTTTGTCGACAGATTTTAATATCTATGTGAATGTATTATTACTGTATAACTTGATTTAGTCACTATATGGCTGAAATATTGCCGATGTGACTTTAAATCTAAACTCACTCACTCACGCAAATAGCAAAGTAACTAAAAGGGGCTGTACATGGCCTTAGTTGCGTTTTCAGACACAGATTTTACTGCTTGTATACATCGTCTATTCCTGTGTAGTTTTAGGCCAAGGTAGTTATATGAATGTACGATGACGACAGGGTAGGACCCAATAGTGAAACATAAATATATGCAGGTCCGCCACCAAAGAGAACACAACTTTTGTTTTGTAAGATTAAGATATAATTTCCATAAAGCTCAGTAGTCGGAAAACTCATTTACAAATTTTTGTGGGTCTTTAGGATTATGACTTATTATAACGGTATCATCAGCAGATAGCAGTATTAAGAGCTGAAAAAAATAGTTAGGTTAGTTTCGATCAGGTTTTTAATGTTCACACCATTACATTCACTGTTCAGTAGATATTGTTCAAGATCAAATGAAGATAGGAGAGGGGAAACGCTGTCACCCTGTTGTACACCATCATGTCAAATGAAACCATCAGAGAACTGGTAAATAATGCTAATTTTAGATTTCATGTTGTGGTACATTTTCTTAACCAGGGTGAAAAACATTTTTAAGTTTATCGCAAAAAAGTTATCATAAGTCAAAAGCCCTTTTCTAAAACTTACTTGCGCAGGATTTAAAATATTATTATCAACAAATTTATATTAGTAACCGGGTTAAAAGTTTGCCAAAGTAACTATAAGCCTGTGTGAATTAGGGTCTAGGCGATTGCCCTTGCCTTTTCAGGTTCACAATCCCCGTAAGCCATGTATCTGGCAACAACCCAGACATATTTGAACGAATGGGACAAGGGTGTCTATTGCATCTATAAAGTAATTATTATCTAAAAAAATCATGTTACGTACATGTACCTCTATTCCTCTTCAGACCTTTAATTCCAAACGTTAGACAATTTCAGACTGTCATTCATGAAATAATAATATAAATGTCTGCGTGCATTGAGCGCGTCTATTTATTCAAACTATTGATTTTATCTTTTAAAGAAGATTGAAATAGGACTAGCATTGACCCTAGTATAGTTAGTTAGTGGACACTACCAGGGCCATAATCTTAAAGTTCCAACGACGGACAAACAACAGTTCATACAGTCACATGGACCAATAAGAGATTGTGGTTTCGTTCTACGCGAGGTGCAGCCATGCAGCCATGTAAATTGTCTCAGTCAGTGTACACGCTATGTACACAAAGATGCTTCGCTAAAATAACGAAGGCGCCGACTGTGCTTTATCGCTTTTGTAATTGCTGTGAATCAATACTCGATTGGTGGAATAGTTTCTTTCTGGGAAGAAAGATGGCAACATGAAATCAACCATCTGTCACGCCGCTGGATTATCCCAACATATTTAAGCCACTGTGTCCATGCCACATCAACCATAAAGTTGCCGGTGCCGGTGTCACGAAATATATTCGCCCCCAGAATAAAACCTCGCGATTGTCCACTTCCAGAAAACATCCTGTGTTGGTTTAACGTGAATTAGTAAAGGTTAATTAGGGATGCCCAACACGTTAATTAATGAAAGACGAGTAGTCAAACACTGTCATTTCCTGCCCAGGACCTCACACCCCTACACGCTAAGGTCGGTGAGAAACATTCTCATCAAAGAAAACACAGAGTCAAGACTGTAGATTCCCGTCGTCTAGCTACAAATCCTGTAATGTATTAAAGGTTGAAGAATTTTGAACTGAACTGTCCGAAAGTTTATATCTAAAATTTTGGAATTGGATACAGTGATAAAGTCTTATATCAATATGTAGACTCATAAATATTGGTTTTATGTTTCAACGGAGATATTTTCTTATGAAATATCGCGTATTAGTGTAATTTGCATGCTTTACCATTCATTGTACCATTCTAAACCATGTGAATGTTGTAATATCAGTCAATCGGTTGGAAAACAGCCCAATCTTAGCCCTATAAGGAACTATGTCAATCATTTTGCAAGTTGAAATGACCCCTGATACTTTATGAATACTTTATGACAGTTTATGGAGTCAAAATCAATGCTGATTATTCATAAACTTAATGCTTCGTACTATAGGCCTGTGGCCTCTTCAGTGCTGAATAAGGATTGAAATTACATCAGTCAATCAAAGATGAAGGTAACTTTATACATCAGAGTTCTTGAGAATTAGTTTATGATTTGTTCTTAGACAAACATTTCAAACATCGATTGTGTTCACATTTAGACTCAAACTGGTATATTAAAAAAATGTATACAGACAACAACAACTGTATTAGAAACAATAAACTCTGTATAGACTCTTGTCTCCCTTCCTTTGTTTGGTATGATTATGTCTAATATTTATTTTAGGATGGAAGGTACAGTTACCAAATAAAAAATGCTGAAATATCAATTCATTATGACCATATTTCATAATCTATTTTTTAGAGTAACCCTCCTTACATTAAAGATAACTATTTAAAGAATATAGTACTTAAAGACATTGCAACAAACCAAATAATCAGGGGGGAGACTTTATACTGAGGGGGGCGCGAAATATATCCGCCTGGGGGAGATTTTATTTCAGAACAGGGAGAGAATCTGTACCGGTATAAAATCTCCGGGGGGAGAATTTGTACGGGGGAGAGTTTATACCGGGACACCGGCGTTGGTGCCCTAGGAATTAAGTAAGTCTCAACGTACACCACAACTCAAACGTTTGATATCGTGTTCGGCACTAAAACAGCCAATAATTTGCGAATTAAATGCAAATAAATTGCGAATAATTTGCAAAAAAAATACAAATAATTTGCAAAAATATTGCGAATAATTTGCAAAAGAAATGCGAATAAATTGCAAAAAAATTGCGAATAATTTGCAAAAGAATTCGAAAAAATTGCAAATAATCCACGGATTTCTGCGAAAGCTACTTTATTGTTTTACGGCACTAATTAGGTGTTTTGTGGCACTCTCACACCATCAACGCTTTGCGGGCCATCGCAATACCATCCATACATACATGTACACTGTATACTATGATGCTACACTGAATGAATTGAAGGTACACCAGTTTGAAATATATTCCTACTATTGTAATGCTGTCGTTGAATATTACATGAATATTTGACTAATGATCAACTTGCATTGCCTCATGTCTTGTACAAATCTACATGTACATGTATTTGCATATACTTATGTCCGGGGTAGAATAGGTTTTCAGCAACCCATGCTTGCTGTAAAAGGCGACTATGCTTGTCATAAGAGGCGACTAACGGGATCTGGTGGCCAGGCTCGCTGACTTGGTTGATGCATGTCAACGATCTCCATTGCGTGGATCGATGCTTATGATGCATACTCGATTATTTACAGACCGCCGTCATATAGCTGGAATATTGTGTGCGGCGTTCAACATTAAACAAACAAATATATTTTGACAGGATTATAGGTGCATTATCATGTCTAATCCCTGATATATGTGCTGATAATTATCCGACAAGAAACAAATAACTTACCCGCACATAGCAAGAGAACCAGCAACACAGACCTCATCTGGAAGAAGAAAATGTCTTCAACCAAACATGAAGTCAAAATGTATATTCCAACCCTAATCCTAAAAACTCCCAATTAACAAGTGTTACAGTCCCCAAAACCAATCTAGTAATTGAGTAATGTTATGGTTAGTTGGTTGGTTTGTTGTTTTACGCCGCACTCAGCAATATTCCAGCTATATGACGGCGGTCTGTTAATAATCGAGTCTGGACCAGATAATCCAGTTATCGATATCATGAGCATGTTTCAACCAAGTCAGCGAGAGCCTGACCACCCGATCCCGTTAGTCGCCTCTCACGACAAGCATAGTCGCCTTTTACGACAAGCATGGGTTGCTGAAGACCTATTCTACCGCGGATTTTCACGGGTCGAGTAATGGAATGACCCATGTGTTCAATTGCGTGGATCGATGCTCATGATGTCAATCACTGGATTGTCTGGTCCAGACTCGATTATTTTACAGACCGCCGTCATATAGCTGGAATATTGCTTAGTGCGGCGTTAAACAACAAACAAACAAACAAAACAAACCCATGTGTTCCACATAATGATAAAATATGTCCTTACCTTGGCAGAGACTAACGAGTGACTACACTTCACAACACTGTAGGCTCAGAGAGTGCCTGGTTCAAATCGATGGATCCCGTCTTCTATTTCTCACAGGCTGAAACCTTGTTAGAATCGTATATAAGACGCATGTCACAATTTAACACCGAGGGGATAATGACCAATCAGCTTATACGTACCAACCGTCGTCATTCAGACAGTATTTGCATATCTTGATTGACATCCTGATTGACATTCAGGAGGCTGGAATCAACATATGAAACTGAGATGCATATTTCCAACAATAATGGTGGACGCAAACCTACAATTGTGGTATGCTAGCTTTCTTGTTTGTTTGTTGTTTAACGCCGCACTCAGAAATATTTCAGCTGTATGACGGCGGTCTGAATATAATCGAGTCTGGACCAGACAATCCAGTCATTGATGTCACGAGCATCGATCAACTCAATTGGGATCGATGACATGCTTCAACCAAGTCAGCGAGCCTTGACCACCCAATCCCGTTAGTCGCCTTTTACGACAAGCATAGATGCCTAACTCTCATCAGTATTGTAATCGCTTAACTTAAACGTTTCTCATTCAAGCAGATACTTATTTAATGTTTACTTTTAATGATACATGAATTTATCATTCGAGAGATACATAGATAACTTTGAAATAATTATGAAAACAAACTTTTTTCGCATCACAAACATGTATCATTGACAGAAACCGCAGGTATCTGGTAAAAAAATTATTTTATTTTGAATGGTTGTTTTAAGAGGAGCTTTCTATACTCATAATTGTCATTTTATTTAATATAGACAAGGATGCCGGAGACAAATACATCTTTTGATTTAAAGGGACCAGTCGTAATACACACTTTACATTTAGAAGAGCGTTAATTATAACAAAAACATAATTGTCATTATTTTGGACAATAATTGAGTTGTCATACATTCCCTTTCTTAGTGAGTGAGTTAAAAGTGCATCGGCATTATTTCAGCCATATAGCGACGAGACAAAGTTAATATATTTACAATTTAGTCATTAATGCAAAGTTTTATTTAAAAACAAGTTGTAAAACATATTTGAGCATAATATATTTAGAAACAATTTATGAAACATATTTGAGCATAACAATATTATATATACAGTTTTAAAACACGGGCAAAAGGCCACCAGTAAAAACCAAAGCGAGGCCACTTGCTGGGGATCATGGGGACTTACAGTACCTCTGCTTCCAGTACCATTACTTCAGCCACTGGTGGTTGTGCACAATGCTAGCCAATATTAAAAAATACTCATCAATGAGTTGGCTTAAAAATACTGGTTGATGATAGTTACATTGATTATGATAGGATTACGTGTCACACAGGGGGGCAATATTTTTACGGTACTTTAACCTCCTGGACAGAACCTTCAATAACGTCAGTTAGTAGTAGCATCACACCAAATTTAAAAACAAGCATTTAATTATTCACATACATATTTGAAATGTATTATACAGACCAATTTCTTTCAAGTAATTTATGATGAGATGCCCGCTGACACGGGAAAAGAGATCCTTTAGATTTACACTTTGATAATGTGAATCCCTTGCGATTGCAAAGTCCACACAGTCTAGCAATATATGCTTGAAGGTGAACCTTTCATCACAAGGGATACAGTTAGGAGGTTAGTCCTCATCTGTCATAAGCAGATAAGTAGTGGAGATAACGGTTTGTGAAGAGCTGCTTTAGCTGCACCATCGGCTTTTGAGTTAACTGTTATGCCTACATGACTTGGTAACCAGCAATAGACAATGTCGCATTGGCCAGTAGAAAGATCATTAAAAAAGTTCTGAAATGTCTAGGATTATAGGATGATTGGAGGAGACTCTTTAAGTGCCTGAAGGCATGACAATGGATCGGAGAAGATGATGAACTTTTTAGATTGGTTTTGATGTTTGATATAGGTCAAAGCTGTAAAGAAAGCTTTGACCTCAGCCTTAAAAATTGAACTTGAATCTGGTATTCTTGAGGAGACAGTTCTGGATCCAATGATGGTGGCACTTGCAACTTTGCCACCATCCTTGAAACCGTCTGTAAAAATGGACCTGTGAGAATTATATTTGGTGCGTAATTGGTTAAAAGATGGTTGATATACCAACGGATTAGTTTCTGACTGTTTAGCTGGGTTAGAGTGAGGTCTACTTTTGGCTTCACCATCTGCCAGGGAGGTCAAGGTGATATAATATTAAGATCTATTTTAGCTGCAGTGATGTGTGGTTGAATTCTGATTCCAAGTGGTGGAACCAGGTTTGATAGATTTCGAAATAGGTTTTCATACTGAGGGTGGAAAACACAATTGTATGCTGGATTGGATTTAAAATACTCAAAACAAGTTAAGGAACACCCAATTCTTTCATATTACTACAGTAATATAGTCATGACATGACAGATTAACTATAGTAAAATGAAAGAATATGTGTTCTCTAACTTCTTTTGAGTAGTTTATTTGAGTGCAATTAGGTAATGTATTGCAGTGAAAGTTTAATGCAGTGCAGTTCGAGTGAAGGTTCATCGGCCTCCACATACAAACTGTCCACGGGAGAGGTCCTAAAAGCTCCAAGACAGGCCTTAGGCCCTGGTGGTGTATTATGTCTAATTTTTGTAAATTGCTTTTGCAGGCCCCACCGTTGACAATGGAACCATAGTTTAGAGCGTATTAACGATCTGTACAAGTGAAGGAGGGTCGTCTGATCCCCTCCCCACTCGGAATTTGAAACGACTTTTAACAAGTCGAGAACCTTCAGACACTTTGCCTTGATATATTTGATGTGTGGTAAGAATGTGAGATGACGGTCAAATATGAGGCCCAGTAATTTGGCCTCCTTTACTACCTTGATAGGAGTACCATCTAAAAATAAATCTGGATCCTTGTGAGGTTTGTATTTACGACAAAAGTGAATACAGTTTGTTTTGGATTTCGAAAATGTGAAGCCGTTTTCGGTCGCCAAATTTTGAATTTTGCTTAGACAGAGCTGTAGCTGTCTTTCTATTGTATTCATATTCTTACCACGACAAGAAATGTTGAAATCGTCCACAAAAAGTGAACCATCAACGTTATTGTTTAATACTTTGGTGAGACTATTAATTTTGATGCTGAAAAGTGTGACTGATGGTATGCTGCTTTGAGGGACGCCCTGATCTTGATCGAAATGATCCCTTTCTTAACATACAAACACAAATATACTGTTTTCTAGTCGCATTGCCGTCAACATATTGTATTATTCATGTTCAAATGTTGAGTCCCATGATCCTCTACAGGAAGCTTTGTCAGAGTATATGTCGGGATCGGGTGGTCAGACTCGCTGACTTGGTTGATGCATGTCATCGTACCCCAATTGCGTGGATCGATGCTCATGATGTCAGTCACTGGATTGTCTGGTCCAGACTCGATTATTTACAGATCGCCGTCATATAGCTGGGTTATTGCTGAGTGCGGCGTTAAACAACAAACAAACAGAGCTTATGCGGGGTAGTGAGAAACAGATCGCGATCGCTGTAACGCTGTGAGGAATGATGACAGGTGCCCGATGAAGCGAACATAAAATATTGCTTTCCCTGCAGCGTCGCTGTCCTTACTTAATGCTGCATAAATGTGCGTCCGACGATGTGGCACCTTTATGATACCTCCAGACAATTTCAATTTTAAAGGATTTAATGGACAGATTTCATAATTATTACAGTCCATATGTAACAATTAAGTCTCTTTTCCCTCATGTAGCATACCAAATAAATCACATTTTACTCTATTTCAGCTGATTCCTCCTTAACGATGATCGACCATGTGGTTGCTTTACCGGTAGCCTTCCCCAACTGTTTATGTTCTAGATATAAGTTTTCACAGCAAATATAACAGAGCCACAGTTTCTAAGGGTTCTTAGTTAAGTTACCCTCATTCCACTGTTTTCATCAAAACACATCAAAGGTATCCAATCTCTTTTGTAATTGAAGGGCATATGTTCTGTTTCACGGTTACAATTTCAATATCCAGCCATGGTGGTTGACTGTTGTTACATTTGAGAGAATATGTATGTGTCCTTTGCTTCCTCTTGTCGGAACTTGTGACAAGTTTTGGGAGGAGAGACAGGTGTTTACGTATTGAGGTGATGTGCTCTGCCTTTGAAACAGATTGTGTATTCCGAGAAAAATAGGTTATTCTTTTATGTCGACAATCGCAACCATCCAATCTGTCTCTTAGCAATGCACGTCAGCTCCCTACAGGTATCTAATGAAGCGAACGTAAAATGTCATTGTTACGTGTTTATTTGACCCCAACCAGAAGACAGCGGAGCATCAAAGACTGAGTATTTACAACGAGTGAGTCAGTTGGGTTTATCGCTGCTTTTAACGGTATTCCAGTTATATCACAGCGTGTCAGCTTAATATGGGCACTCACTCACTCACTCACTCACTCACTCACTCACTCACTCACTCACTCACTCACTCACTCACTCACTCACTCACTCACTCACTCACTCACTCACTCACTCACTCACTCACTCACTCACTCACTCACTCACTCACTCACTCACTCACTCACTCACTCACTCACTCACTCACTCACTCACTCACTCACTCACTCACTCACTCACTCACTCACTCACTCACTCACTCACTCACTCACTCACTCACTCACTCACTCACTCACTCACTCACTCACTCACTCACTCACTCACTCACTCACTCACTCACTCACTCACTCACTCACTCACTCACTCACTCACTCACTCACTCACTCACTCACTCACTCACTCACTCACTCACTCACTCACTCACTCACTCACTCACTCACTCACTCACTCACTCACTCACTCACTCACTCACTCACTCACTCACTCACTCACTCACTCACTCGGGAGGAAAGCCCGAAGTGATGCAGGTCTTAGACGTTTACCACTTCGGTGAAACTCACGAGCACGGGTATGGTTCTGCCATAGAAACATATTCGGGGCGAACAGGGATTCGAACCCACAATCATAGGTTTCTGGCGTGCCCAAGGGACGCAACTCTGCAAAGCGAATTGCGGCGCCCTTGACGACTGGGCCACCCGTGCCCCCGCATTTACAACGACTCTCCCCAGTTGGTCAAAGGGGATAAACTATCACACTAACGAATACACATGTGATGTTCTAATACAATGAATAATACAACTGAACTGTTTGCTTTTCAGGAGGGAAGGGGGGCAATCTGCATGTTGACACGGTCACAATATACCTATGCTACGTGTGAGAGGTCGGGGTGAACAGTATGTTTCTTGACTGACATCGACTTCGTTGACACAAGAGCAGAAATGTGACAGTGGTTTGTTTTTCTGTTATTCGAACAAACATATTCCATGTGCTGTGTGAAAGTTCACCCTTTCTTACAAGATAATGAAATTACTTGAAAACGCTCTTGCAACACAGGCGCGAACGAAGCAACACCCATTCCCTGTGATATGCCACTTTGCCATATACACCACCGACAGAAAATAAGGGAACTGATGAAATTATGGAGAAAAAAATACATTAAATGTCTGTAAAATTAAGTTTTGACGTGTAGATCTATAGCTTGTGGGTAAACCATGTTGGGAGAAACATGCAGGACACCATGATGGTATGCTGTTGAGTAACGTGCATCTTGGTATTGCCTGCCACTCCATCTGAAAAGCTACCCCAGGATGGGCCACGTTGGCGGGTGCTTGGTCTCGAAGGGTACCCACTCCCCCTGAGGACAATCCACAGATGCTCTATTGAGGACATGTCAGGGGACTTCGCGGGCCAAACCAATGTCCGTACGCCTTATCGTCGGAGATAACATACCCCTGGCCAGTCAAATGTCCAATCACAAACAAAGCTCAAACTCAAATACCGCAGTTTACAGATATGTGCAGATTTTGAGTAAAAGAGCTGGATGTTTTTCATTCATCATCTCTTCTACCATCTGACCCATGATTGAGGACTCCTCTCTCGTAAATAGTTGATTTGTGTAGTATTTGCTTAATCTAACAAGTTGGCCTATCTATATTGGCATTTTGGTTAAACTGAACAATTACCGAATGATTGTTGATTGGTACATTATCAGGAGGGTTACAACAACCACATGGTCGATAGTGTCGGCCGCCATTTCGTCAGCCGATTTACGTCCCTTGGATTGCAGGATCCGCTGATCGTTTATTCGAATACCAGATTTGCCCTGATTATGACCCTTGATTTGTCAGCACCTTCCGCATCTTGTATGTTACACGAAGGTGATAAATGAAGTGGCGAGTTTTTCTTCTACATTTTGCTCATACTCATGCTGACATAATGTTCAAATCAATGGAAAACCAAGTAAATATCTCGTATTGCTTCTCCATATGGTGGGGACCCCTCGCTGGAACAGATTGTTACCAACTTTGTAACAGTCATTATTGTGAGACCAACCGTTTAATATTCAGGGGAGGGGTTGTTTGAGACAACATAGCTTCAAAACATAATTAATGGGTGGTTGCAACATTTTTTTCAAAACAAACATTGAGCAATTGATTTTATTATATACTTCAGTGTGAATGACATAGTTTTCTGAAGTTGAGAAAACGTTATATTTCTCTGAACACTTTGACGGAACTATTGTCATACAAGAGTTACCTGCCCGCAGATTGTCTCCCTTTATCTAGATCGTACACAAACTGTTAACTTCCTTTTTACGTTAGCTCCACACTGACAAGGCAAAATAATGACAGATAGTCATTTATGGAGATGATATCTCTTCTTGTCATTAGTTAGTCTCTTGAAAATGTTTCGTTATAAACTGCAAATATTTAATTTCGTTAAGCAACAAACAAATCATGACATCAATCACTGGAATGTCTGGTCCAGACTCGATTACTTACCGACCGACGTCATATAGCTGAAATATTGCTGTGTGCGGCGTTAAACAATAAACAAACATATTATTTCTATCAATTTCGGAAACATTGAGTCCCAGAATATATGTATCACAAGGGTTGGCAACTTATTTATCAAAACATAACTGGTTATGGTTGGTTAACGCCGTACAAGTGAACTTATGATTTGTTCGAATAGACTGTGTTGGTCCAGGGTTGGTTGGTTGGTTGGTTGGTTGTTTATCGTTACACTCAGCAATATTCCAGCTATATGACAGCGGTCTTTAAATATTCCGAGTCTGGACCAGACAATCCAGTGATTAATATCATGAGCATCGATCCACGCAATTGGGATCGATGACATGCATCAACCAAGTCTGGTGTAACCTGAGGACAAAGTATAATTTACAGCAATTTCGGAAACAGATTAAGTCCCGGAGTATCAAATGGTCGGCACCTTATAATATCTAATTATATCTGCGTCTTTTACACCAGGACCTATGACCTGAAAGCTGTGAATGACTGATGACGAAGGGTGTTTCAACATCGGCTTTATTCATGATACAAAACCTTTGGATGATTTACATTAACTTAATTATCTTTGTCTAAAGTCAAGGATGAATGTCGATTGTTGCATTTTGGTAGAATACCACTAACATACAGATGTGCATTTGACATGTCTCCTTGCAAAGGTGTTACTGGGAGTAGCCCAGTTATCTTGCGCCGCAATTAGATGTACAGAGTTGTATCCCTTGGGCACACTAGAAACATATGATCGTGGGTTCGAATCCTGGTTCACGTCGAATATGTTTCTAGTGTTTCGCCAAAGTGGGAAACGCCTGAGATCTGCTTTCCTCCCGCACTTAGCTGACACGCCGTGGTATAACAGGAAAGGTGTTCAAACGCGGCGTTAAACGCAACTAACTTCTCTTGCAAAAGAATAAAATGACCGCATTTCTCAGGCTAAAAAAACAGGTTTGCTAGCATTTGTTATGTTTTAAAAGTATCTCCTGTCGAAAGGTGATGTATGTAAGCCGTATGTTCCTGTGCGTTGTTACACTATGGGGGATGCTTGTTGGCGGATACAGTGAGGTGTTTTGGAGTCGGTGAATACAGCTGATATACACTGAGCCTCCTCTGCGCATGTCACAAGACAGTCCTCCAGGAACTCCAGATGGTTGCTCATGTAGGGCCAGGCTGTGATAGTGCCTCGTGAAAACAGAGTCTCCCCGTGAGCTGCAATACACAAAAATGTAGCTGTATTATGTATACACGCGGAATAACGTTCCTATGTTTTATGTATGAGAGCCCTCCTAGAGATGATAGGCTGCATTTACGTGGTGTTTACTTGTTCAAAGGTACAGCGCAAATGTCCCCGGACAAGGCGACAATGCTATTGACTGTCTCTTGCGCGATAGATGTGAAGTCTTCATGTGTTGTCATTTCTGTATTGTCATATTGTATCGTAATACATAAGACTGTGCATTACTAACTATCATGGGAAAACCAAATTATTTATTGATCAGCCGATATAGGTAATAAATTGTACAAAATACAGGCTTGTGACATGCAGGGCATATGTGGTTGGTTGTTTTGTTGTTTAACGCCGCACTCAGCAATATTCCAGCTATATGACGGCGGTCTGTAAATAATCGAGTCTGGACCAGAAAATCCAGTGATTGATATCATGAGCATCGATCCACACAACTGGGATCGATGACATGCATCAACCAAGTCAGCGAGCCTGACCACCCGATCCCGTTAGTCGCCTTTTACGACTAGCATAGTCGCCTGCGTATGTGGTGGGAGGTTGGGAGGTATTATGAGAGGTGACTAACGGGATCGGGTGGTCAGGCTCGCTGACTTGGTTGATGCATGTCATCGATCCCATGAAGCTCATAATGTCAATCACTGGATTGGCTGATCCAGACTCGATTATTGCCTTTTTTGTTGTTGTTTAACGCCACACTCAGCAATATTCCAGATATATGACGGTGGTCATATATTGCAATCAATTATACATCTCTTGCTATTGTTGTATACTTGGGATACACAGGAGTAAATATCATGAAGACTTAATATAATTCCAGAGACAGAACCGTAATTCTATGTTATTAAGACCCGTGAAGATCCGGGGTTGAATAGGTCTTCAGCAACCCATGCTTGTCGTAAGAGGCGACTAACGATATTGGGTGGTCAGGCTCGCTGACTTGGTTGATATATGTCATCGATCCAAATTGCGTGGAACGATGCTCATGATATTAATCACTGGATTGCCTGGTCCAGACCCGATTATTTACACACCGCCGTCATATAGCTGGAATATTGCTGAGCGCGGCGTTAAACAACAAACAAACACTCCTTAAAGGTATACACAGACATTCATCTTCAGGTTGCGTCATTGCAATCGGGTTTATGTTCAGGTTAAAAGATAAATACTTACGACCCTTCTCGGCATTCTTATAGAATGGTTCAATGTGGAGGAGCATGGTCGTGCTTGGGGTGACTGGCTTGGTTGTTGTACCTGAAGAAAACAAATCATAAGTTTACTTGTACATGTGAGTTATAATTAATTCCCCTGGATCAGACCCGTGAAGATCCGGGTTGGAATAGGTCTTCAACAACCCATGCTTTCCGTAAAAGGCGACTATGCTTGTGTAAAAGGCGACTCACGGGATCGGGGGGTCAGGCTCGCTGACTTGGTTGATGCATGTCATCGATCCCAATTGCCTGGATCTATGCTCATGATATCAATCACTGGATTGTCTGGTCCAGACTCGATTATTTACAGACCGCCGTCATATAGCTGGAATATGCTGAGTGCGACGATAAACAACCAACCAACCAACCAACCAACCCTGGACCAACACAGTCTATTCGAACAAATCATAAGTTCACTTGTACATGTGAGTTATAATTATTCCCCTGGACCAACACAGTCTATTCGAAAATAACCACCAGATAATTATGACATGTAGTTATTTTTATTAAAAATACCCAATTCCATTTCCCTGTTCTTTTGATTATACTACCAATTCTAAAAAAATATAAAAAATCAGTATCAAATGTGGTACAGAAACTTTTCAGAACCTCAATGTTTTCTGTGAAACAATAACTGTACGTACCATCAAACCAATAACAATTATCAGCACGTGATCATGATAATAATAAACTATTTAAGAAATCCCGACCAACAAAAATACCCCTTACATCTTAGGCTTATATCAACTGTACTAATTCAAGAACAAACAAGGAAAATAAAAGAGGTTTCAAGGCACACACTTGTTGTACACCACTAAGAGTGTTGAAATATTGTGAAATGGAGCAGTTGGATTTGTTTGTTTGTTTGTTGTTTAACGCCGCACTCAGAATTATTCCAGCTCTATGACGGCGGTCTGTAAATAATCGGGTCTGGACCAGGCAATCCAGTGATTAATATCATGAGCATCGTTCCACGCAATTTGGATCGATGACATATATCAACCAAGTCAGCGAGCCTGACCACCCAATCCCGTTAGTCGCTTCTTACGACAAGCATAGTCGCCTTTTATGGCAAGCATGGCTTTGATATTGTTACAGGAGAATACATATATGTCAGAACATGAAATATTTTACAGTGAATACCTCTCTTTAGAATACAATGCCCTGAACAACCCTGTTAACAAAATAAAATGCCCGTTTGAAGTCTACAAAGAGACAGTAAAATCTACCACTAGCGTTTGATAAATATTGTTGGATTAAACTCTGAAAAACAAACATATTATGAACTGTGCTTTACCCAGCCCTAAAACATGCGTGTCACTCTGGGATTCTATAACAAATATCACAAAACATTGTAAGTTTCTTATTTAGAATACTTGTAAATATGTTCCTAAAATATCGCTAAGACTTATAAGTACCCCTATAAGTAATCATATCAGATTTACTACCCTTCTGATAATTATTAAACTTCCCCTTTATGTCTAGCAATATTCCAGCAGCTCCAGCCTTTGGTGACCACATTTCACAATTTTTTAAGGGAAAATGGAGCACGCTCATTCCACGAAGATATCAGAGAGCGGCATACGACCCTTGCTCAAAGCTCAAAAGAAAAGCTTTCAGAAAGTGCTGTGGTATACATGTGGTATTATCAGTCTTCTGTATCTCCAGCCAGCATAAATAAAACTACAATGTGAATGATGAAATAATGTTATTTGTGTCAGTTACAAATTTACATTATCTGCCTGTATTGTATTACAGCAGAATGTTCCAGATTTATGTTTCGTAGTTGGTTGGTTGATTTGTTGTTTTACGCCGCACTCAGCAATATTCAAGCTATATGACGGCCGTCTGTAAATATTCCAGTGATTGACACCATGAGCATCGATCCATGCAATTGGGATCGATTACATGCATCAACCAAGTCAACGAGACTGAGCGCCCGATCCCGTTAGTCGCCTCTAACAAGCATAGTTGTCTTTTAGGGCAAGCATGGGTTTCTGAAGACCTATTCTACCCCGGATCTTCACGTTTCGTAGTACGATGCTGGGACAATACATGCGCGTGGTCATTAATACCAGATCGATATGACATTTCGTTAATTATTACTTTTCCATTGTGCACTGCATTAGAAAAACTTGAATCAGTGATAATCACTTCGCCCTTCTGTTTGCCATATAATATCGGATTTTTGTTAAAGCTGTGTTTTTTTTACAATTTCAGTCGCCATAAATATCAAGAGAAGCATCACCTTTGCCAATTAATAGGTTTACTGTCAACATTTCACTTCAGCAGCAGTGAGATACAAACACCATGATGTATGAATACCAAGGATGATGAAAGGAATTTTACTCAGCAATGTAAAACCTGTTCGGGTCTACCGGATGTGTAGCATCGTCCGAAAGCTTGGAATCGCAAGTTTTCCAAAACGAATGTTGCCAGACTTGAAAGTGAGGCAAAATGTTTTGATTTTGTTTGTTTGTTTGTTGTTGTTGTTTTGTTGCTTTGGGTTGTTTTTTTTAGGGGTTTTTTATTTTATTTTAGTATAGGTTTTTTTAGGGTTTTTTTTTTTTTTGGGGGGGGGGGGTGTGTGTTTTGTTTTGTTTTGTTTTGTTTTGTTTTTTTTGGGGGGGGGTCCATGGTAACTATTCTATTTTGGAAAGAGCAATACTGCTTCAAATAAATGAAAAAATCATCCCTTTATCAATTTTGTGAAGGTTTGTTTCACATAGCACTGCTTCTTCGATCCATGTAAAATGGCACGTTCAAAGGACAGGGTCGCAACAATTGCATTTGCAGCGATTCTCATCTCGACACTAATTGAACTGGTTGAATGTATTCACATAAAGAAATGGTAAACTCCTCCAAATCTAAATGGTCTGAAACAAATTGGTAAAACTGTCGGCTACTTGGCTAAGTTTGTTTGTTTATTTGTTGTTTAACACCGCACTCAGCAATATTCAAGCAAGAGGTGACTAACGGGATCGGGTGGTCAAGTTCGCTGACTTGGTTGATGCATGTCATCGTATCCAAATTACGTGTATCGATGCTCATGTCAATAAATGGATTGTCTGGTCCAGACTCGATTGTGTTCAGACCGCCGTCATATCGCTGGAATAGTGCTGAGTGCGGCGTTAAACAACAAACCAACCAACATTAGCCATTCACAATACAGCTTTCTCAAGCTTAACCACACTAGTTTCTAACTGGCGACTTCCATTCCAGACTACGCTTTGAAGAATGTCGATTCAAAATTTGAAAACTAAACAAAAGATTATTATGGAATATAAAAATACATTGACGTAATTATATGACTGCACCTCCAATGGGCTGTGAAAAGTCTCTTGCGTTTCAAATGTTCATCCCATTGAAGCGAGAGACAGACATTGATTTGACGGAGTCAATGATACAGCTCGTAAATGTTGTTCGGAACATCCCGTATTCACATTTTCGAGGTTGCATGAGTAGTAGATAATGCGGATGTCCAGCACCTTCCGCGGAAGGTGCCCTATGAATATTCATGAGCCTATTGTTATGCTAATAGACATGCATGACGTCACAATGAGAACGGCGTCATTATGCATGCATGTTAAGAATGTCAAGAATGCGGCCTTTGTTAAAATGTCATAGTTGAGGAATTCTTTAGGAATGCCAGCTATTTGGAATTCTTTAGGAATGCTAGCTATGTGGAATGTAGTCTGGGTAGAATTCTTCAGATGTATACTAGAATGATCATCATCGAATGGAATGTCATCCCTTTCGTGAAGAAATTTGGAATTCTTTAGGAATGCCAGCTATGTGGAATGTAGTCGGGGTTGATATCTTCAGATGTATACTAGAATGATCGTCATCAAACGGAATGTCACCCTATCGTGAAAGAATGAAACAGTCCTTGATCTCTTGATATAGCTACTAGCTAGCAGAATGTCATCATCGAGACGAAGAGGAGAATGTACGAGTTCATTCACCATTTGATCATCACAGTCGACGGCGAGGAAATATATATATATTTTTTTTGTCTTACAAAATACAGACGGACCTTTCATTTTTGGATGGAAAAAATCTGATTTAACCAATACCATCAATCATGTTCACTAAAATAATGAATAAAAATAGTATAGGTTTCTTAAAATATTTCTCAACTTTATTCACGCCGTTGTATATTTCGTCGTAAAAAGTCAGTCTTATTCTTATTTTCAATCTTAATTTTCAACTCTGTGATATATTTTCGTCGTAAAAAGTCAGTCTTGTTCTTATTTTCAATCTTAATTTTCAACTCTGTGATATATTTCGTTGTAAAAGTCAGTCTTGTTCTTATGTTCAATCTTAATTTCCAACTCTGAAAGATTTCCTTCCCTCATATCGTGCCCTAAGTTTCCCATCTAAATGCTTAATCCGACCATACACGTTCTTCTTAAATTATATCCGGTTCACATCACATATTATTCACCGAACATATGATAAATGAATGTAAGTATGTTGTAAAAGCTAGGTTGAAATGAAACATCCCAAGTTCTAATTAAGGATACATGAACAGTTTCAGAATACTGTTATCTCACCGAAAGTGTTTTCCAAATCCTATTGAAATTCACGAAACACATATCTTCCGTGTAGCATGTATCCCTTATTCCACAAGGCTTTAAGAACTTTTACCCACCTCAACCCTACACTGTGATATACCACCGTAAATGGTCTTATAGAAATAACCGTCCCCCCTTATGGTAACCCATGTTTAAGTTACAGTACCCTGTTTAGAGATAATACGTTAGTATGTACTCTGAAAATAATGTTTACCTCATTCGACATCTGTATGAATAAAAAATAGTATAGTTTTATATATAAAAAAATCTCTACTTTAAAGTAGTAGTAAAACTAGTATATGGTCAGAACAATGCCCAAAACCTTCCTTTGTGGTAATAGGAATGTCTGGAATGTGGGGAATGGTATGGCAAGTCTGGTCTATTATGGAATGTTTGGAATGTTGTAGAATGTCTGGAATCGTATGGTACGTCTGCTCTGTTATGGAATGTTGAGAATGAGTATTGG